TAGCGCAGACAGGGAAGGTGTGGCAGGCTCTCCAGGAACCCTGTCCCTACCCGGATGTGTGAACCTTCGGGGGCAGCTGTCTGAGGCAGGGGGAGGCGCCCCCTCCAGCCCAGGGGGAGGGCCGAGCTTGGGGAGATGGCAGGAAGGGGGTGCCTGTGGGGAGAGGGGTCCAGGCCTCCTTCGTTAGGACTGACTTGCCGCTTGCTCGGCTCTGAGTCAGCTCACCCATCTCAGGGGAGGAGACGCCCGTGTTGCAGGCTAGCTCCCCGCACTCTCGCTCTCGGACAGAAGTGGCTCCTTCTAAGCTCTCTGAGGTCTTGGGTGCCTTTTCCTACTTAGAGCTCTTTTGTACCTGTTTGTTTTTAAGCTTATCTAGTGACACGCCTTTTAACGGAGCTGAAATGTTTCTTTTCTTTTTCTTTTCTTCTTTTTTAAAAAAATATATTTTATTGATTTTTTACAGAGAGGAAGGGAGAGGGATAGAGAGCTAGAAACATCGATGAGAGAGAAACATCAATCAGCTGCCTCCTGCACATCTCCTACTGGGGATGTGCCCGCATCCAAGGTACATGCCCTTGACTGGAATCGAACCTGGGACCCTTGAGTCTGCAGGCCGACGCTCTATCCACTGAGCCAAACCGGTCAGGGCTGAAATGTTTCTTAAAGTGCTTGAAAGCCAGCCGAAGGGGAAGCCCCGGGTGACTCAGGCCCCGCTCTGCCCTCCTCGGCCCAGGCCCCCCCAGCGAGCCCACCCACCTGGCGGTGGAGGACATCTCCGACACCACAGTGTCCCTCAAGTGGAGGCCCCCGGAGCGCGAGGGAGCCGGAGGCCTGGATGGCTACAGTGTGGAGTACTGCCAGGAGGGTGGTGAGTGTCGCCCGCCCAGCCTGGGCCCGCAGCCTGTGCCCTTCTCTGAACAGCCCCCTGCCGGGCACCTGCCACCCCCGGGGCCCTCCCTGCAGTGGCAGCCCCGGACAGCCACCAGAGGCGGGCAGCAGGATGGTGTCGATGCTGACACTGCCCGTGGTTTTGCCCGCCCCGCCCTCAGGCTCCGAGTGGGTGGCTGCCCTGCAGGGGCTGACGGAGCGCACCTCGATGCTGGTGAAGGACCTGCCCACGGGGGCCCGGCTGCTCTTCCGGGTGCGGGCACACAATGTGGCCGGGCCTGGAGCCCCCGCCACCACCAAGGAGCCCGTGACGGTGCAGGAGATCCTGCGTGAGTGCCCCTTTGGTCACAGAACCTGCCACTGACACCTGGCCCTGTGGCCCCTGGAAGTGGGGATGGTCAGATGGGCCCTCCTCGGGGAGGAGCTGCCTGCTGGACAGGGACAGGATGGGCAGGAGCCTTCATCCAGGCCCCGGGCCCAGGGCAAACCTGGGCGGAAAGTGTCCTCTTGGTTTCCCCTGTCAGCCCCCGTCTGGGGCAGGGAAAGCGCAGGTCTCTATGCATCCTCTGCCCCGTGAGTCTCGGCTCCAGCAGGTAGATCTTGTCCTTGTGCTCAGGACTGAGCAGTGATGCCACTTGGGGTCAAGCTGACCCATCTGGGCCTCCCTTCCTAACAAAGGATCAACCGTGTGTAAGGACTGGTTCTCAGGGTGGAAAGAGACACCAAACTGGGTGGTAATAGGGTCCAAGAGCCTAGATTTGCATCCTGGCCTGTGTGACCTCAAACAAGTTGCACACCCTCTCTGATCCCTGCCTTCTGAGCGGTGTGGTGAGGCTCAGGGGGAAGCAGGCGCTTTGTGAACCCTTTGGGGCTGGGTTAGGGGGAGCTGAAGGAGGGGATGCCTAGGGAGCAGCGCTTTTTTAGCTGCAGCTCTCTGGGCCCTGCCTCAAGAGAGAATGGAGCCGTGGCACCCCTCAGGCCTTGGGCCGGGAGTGGCTCTCGCTGAGCTGCCCACTCCACATCCACAGAGCGGCCACGGCTCCAGCTGCCTAGGCACCTACGCCAGACCATCCAGAGGAGGGTCGGGGAGCCCGTGAACCTCCTCATTCCTTTCCAGGTAGGGCTGGCCCCTTCTCTGTCCTGTTGTGTGTTGCTCATGCCTCGCAGACAGACGTGCCTCGGGGCTCACCTGAGACCCCACCCAGGCACGTGAGGCTGGGGGTGGCCGGCTGTCAGGGAGAGCCAGGCTTGGGGGTGAGCTGTCCCTCCCCACAGGGCAAGCCCCGGCCTCAGGTGACCTGGACCAAAGAGGGGCAGCCATTGGCGGGCGAGGAGGTGAGCATCCGCAACAGCCCCACGGACACCATCCTCTTCATCCGGGCCGCTCGCCGCGCCCACTCTGGCACCTACCAGGTGACGCTGCGCATCGAGAACATGGAGGACAAGGCGACGCTGGTCCTGCAGATCGTTGGTGCGTGGCCCTGGGGCCTCCCTCTAGCCCGTTGGCTGCCAGTCTCTGAGCTGGGCTGCCAGGCCCCGGCTGGCGGGGTGACGGGCCCTGGAGCAGGGTGTGGGGTTCCACTGGGTCTGTCTCCTGCAGACAAGCCAAGTCCTCCCCAGGACATTCGGGTCACAGAGGCGTGGGGCTTCAATGTGGCTCTGGAGTGGAAGCCACCCCAAGACGATGGCAACACCGAGATCTCGGGGTACACGGTACAGAAAGCAGACAAGAAGACCATGGTGAGCCTGGTCCTCCCCCCGACATGCACCCCTCCTGGGGCCTGGCAGGCCCAGGTCTCAGCTGCACTCCCCTGCCCTGAGAATGGGCCACCTCTCACCCTCCGTGACCCGGTTCTCTGCACAGCTGGGGTGCAGACACCAGGGGTACCGAGAGGCCCCTGGTAGGAAGCAGGGCCTGCCCCCAGCCCCCAGCCCCAGAGACCCCTTCTCCACACCGCAGGAGTGGTTCACGGTCCTGGAGCATTACCGCCGCACCCACTGTGTGGTGTCCGAGCTCATCATCGGCAACGGCTACTACTTCCGGGTCTTCAGCCACAACATGGTGGGGCCCAGTGACAAAGCCGCCACCACCAAGGAGCCCGTCTTCATCCCCAGACCAGGTGCTGGGCCCTCACTCCCACCCCCGGGGGCGCTGGGGCAGGCAGCCAGTGGGCACAGGGAGGGAGCCTGGCTGGGTGCGGCCCTCTTGGTACAAAACCCCGTCACCGCCAGGCATCACATATGAGCCGCCCGACTACAAGGCCATGGACTTCTCCGAGGCCCCAAGCTTCACCCACCCCCTGGTGAACCGCTCGGTCATCGCCGGCTACAATGCTACTCTCTGCTGTGCTGTCCGAGGCAGCCCCAAGGTAGGGAACTCAGGCCCCGGCGGCAGAGCTCCGGCCTCGAGCTGTCCCATTCTCTCCGCCTCTCCCTGAGCGGGGCCTGGCGCTCCCCATCGGCTCTCCGTTCCCAGCCGTGGACATAGTTTAGGACTCCAGTGGGAGCCCCCGGAGTAGAAACACAAACGCCAATCTCCCTCCATTCCTGCCAGGCCCTCTCCACCTGAGTCCCCCTCCTTCCCACTGTCTGATTTATAGCCCAAGATCTCCTGGCTCAAGAACGGCCTGGACCTGGGAGGAGACGCCCGCTTCCGCATGTTCAGCAAGCAGGGCGTGCTGACCCTGGAGATCAGAAAGCCCTGCCCCTACGACGGGGGTGTCTATGTCTGCAGGGCCACCAACCTGCAGGGTGAGGCACAGTGTGAGTGCCGCCTGGAGGTGCGAGGTGAGGAGCCCGCTGGGCCAGGGCCTGGGTGGAAGAACGGGCGGGGCACTGGCTGGGACGGCCTCCCGGCCCCAGCTGCTCTGCCTAGAAGAGCAGTGGTCACCACGTCCGCTGCTCCCAGCCTCTGGGAGGACGCGTGGTGCCGGAAGGTGTAGCCCACAGCACGGCCTCCTTCTCCTCTGCAGTGCCTCAGTGACCAGGCTGCCTCCTCGGGGACGGCCAGGTATGTGCTCGGAACCGCCCCGGGCCCTAATCAGCCTGGGCCCTTGGTGCAGGGCCACAGCCATCGGAAATGGGGTGCAGGTGGCTCTTAGTCCAGCTCACTCACAAGGGAATCTGTGTCAGAGGTGTCACCGGATGCCAGCCGTGTGCCAGGAGCCTGAGGGGAGCTGGACAAGCCTCCTCCTGCTGCTGGACACGTGTGCGCGGTGTGACCGGGCCGGCTGGAGCATCACAGGCTGCAGAGTGGTGATGAGCAGGCGTGGGGACTGTGCAGACTGACCCTTCGGAGCTCCCGCTGAAACTCTCAGATCATGGGGGCGAAGAGCGAGTGAGCTCGGGAAATGATGGCTGCGGACGTCTTTCTGGCCTGCCACGCTCTCCCGGGGGGTACAGGCAATAAAGATCAGTGCAGCACAGAGACCTGGCTCTTCCTGTCCCACGGGTTTCACACAGGCACAGGGAGACTTAGTTGGTCTTCAGAGCAAACTGAAGGCAGACGGTTAAATGAGGCCCAGAGCGGAGCCCTAAACTCGGAAAACATGAATCCTGGGAGGAAGCTGTCTTCCCCCACTGCACAGTCTTCAAAGGAGGAAACGGCGGATCAGTGATAGAGAACGTGCCTTAACACAGAGCCAGCACACCAGGCTCCTCCTGCTCGCACGCGCTCAGTACTATCTTCACTCTGGTGGCCACGGTCACAGCAGCCGGGACCTGGGCCGTGCTGCGGTTCTGTGCCCGTAAGGCCTGGGGGCTGCTGTGGGGTCTCGGTGGGCAACAAGCCCATGGCCTAGGCACACCTGGATCCCACGGTGGGGAGCCCACACCTGACCATCCGTTTCCCTTTGGAAGGAGGAAGCCAGCAGGTCTCAGAGGTGCCCTGACAGTGTGGTGTAGAGGGTCCTTCCTGCCAGGGAGTGTGAGGAGGTTTTCCCATGGCAGAGAAAACAACTCCCTGACGGCCGGGCCCAGGGTCGCTTCTCCTAGTCCCACCCAACCCGACACTCCTGGCCCCATCCCAGTGTCTGCGTGCAGCTCCAGGTCCTGGCTGAGGGACAGCACTAGGGATCACACCTGGAAGGAACACCCAGAGCTGGGACCCTGTGTGGGTTTTTCCTTCACGGCCAAGTTCATCTCTGCTCAGGTGTCAGCCAGTTGGGCTGCCCCCTCTAGTGGCCAATTCAGAGCACAGCAGCCCTCTGTGGGCCCCAACAGGACACAGGGAGCCCAGGGAGCGTGGGGAGGAGCCCTGCTGGGCCCGCAGGTGGGAGGCTGGGCTTCAGCGCCAGAGCTCAGATGGGCGTGATCTCATCTCCTTGCTCCTTCAGACCAGAGGTGCCTTTGTAGAGTCTAGACCAGCCTTCCTCAGGCCCAGGTGAGAGGAAGCATCATTTAGTGCCAGGAGCCCACGGAGAGTTAAGGACATTTATTTCACATTCACACGTATGTACATTTTCTATAAATAATGTGGAGCTGAAATAAATATGTACAGTCATCTCTTGCCCACTCCCAGGCCCTCTCTCCCTTCTGGCACCCAGTGCCAGGAGACGCTGCCTGCAGACACGGGTGTGTATACCGAACTTGGCCTTTGCCCACCCCTTCCGGTTCCTGGGAGTCTCCAGGCCCCAACCAGTCTGCTCTCCTCTGCCTAAGGCCAGGCAGACCCCAGGGGAAGAGCTGCTCCGCTGAGTGGTGGCGGCCATGGTGACAGCAGCAAGACTGTGTGTGGCCCACGGGCGGGCGGGTGGTAGCTGCCAGCTTAGGAAATGCGTCAGGAAGCAGGGAGGTTGCCACTCACTCTGCTGCCCCGGGCCTCTCCCTCCTCTCGCTGCCCACCCCTCTCAGGAAGCCTCAAGCTTCCCTCACTCCCCAGAGGGGGCTGTTCCAGGCGCCCGGCTGTGCTGGATCACAGAGGACAAGAGCCAGAGTCCTGCGCTGGGAGGTCACAATGCCAAGGACACGGAGCCACAACACAAATGTCTCAAGGGCATGCAGGCGTGGACTCACACTGGCCTGTGCCAAAGAGTTCTTAGAAGCCACTGGCCCAACGGACAGACACACACACACACACACACACACACACACACACACACACACACACACACACACACACACACACACACACACACTCACACACCGAGCCCTGAGCGAACAGTAGGCTGGTCTTCTGGGAGTGAAGAGGGAGAAGGCGGAAGAGACTAGCTCAGCCCTGTGATGAACACACTAAGACACACCAACAGACACATAACTGGGAACCACCTAAGCCACGCGAGGGGCTTGCAGAGAACGCGTGTCAACCTCGTCTGGTCTTAGCAGCATCGTGCACTGGGGAACAGCAAGAGGCAAGAGGCCAGGGCGCCCCTGGGCTGGGGCAGCCGTCACCCTCCATCAGCTGGAGACGGGCCGGGGCGGGGTTCGGAGGTCGTCCTCACTGCTGCGGACCGCAGCCACATACGAGAAGAGACACAACACCGAGTAGCAGATCTCGTGGGCCTAGACAGGGAGAAAACCAGGCGGATCAACACCCCTGAGACCTCACCTCTTCACACGGAGCTCTGCCACGCGGGAAACGCGAGCCTCGCCCTGGGCTCGGGCCTCAGCCAGGCCTCAGAGCCGGCCGGTGGGAGAGGGGATCAGTGTGCGTCTCTCCCCCAGGGCTGAAGACCTGTGTCAGCCTCAGCTGAACCTCTGGCATCCGGACCAAATTCGCCTCTCAGATCACTCCTATCACCCCTCACCCTGTGCTCGCAGAGCCCCCCTTCTGTCCGAAGCCCTGTGCAGACTGGCCCGTCAGGGTTGATGGCACACTCACCATGGGTGTCTTGTACTTGTGGCTCACCACTTCTTTAATTTCAGGAACTAAAACCGGACGGGCAAGAAACAAAACAGAAAGTTCAAAACTAAGAGTAGTGCCGAGCTCCCCCAGGCGGCGGCGCCCGGCACAGGGCCCTTCCCTCCGGCTGCTCCTAGGGCTGCAGCTCAGGCTACGGCAGCGTCTGTCCAGCCCCTGCAGGAGGAGAGGACACGTCCCCAGACACTGCCCTGAGGTCTGCATGGCTCCTTGCTGGTGGCCGTGACTCTACCCACTTCTCTGGGAGCCCCAGCACGGCAGCGGGTTAATCTTTCACCAGCCTGGCCCCGCTGCTGTCCAGGGCCCCTGAGAAGCACAGGAGGGTGAAGTACCCCCAGTCGGGCTGGGAGAAGAGAGCTGCATCCCTGTCACCAGCCGAAACTCGGGTCCTGTTACGCACAGTCCCCTGTACTCCCAGCCCCGACACAGAGCGTCCTGCAGCTGGATGAGGCGTGTTGATACTAAACCCACCAGATGTGTATGTTTCCTTTCCTGAGTGGCAGGAGAGGCCAGGCCCGCCTGTGTGAGGGAGAGCGTCAGAGGGCTCTGGAGCAGACACACCGAGCAGAAGAGGCAGGCGAGCACAGCACCCGGGAGGGAGGTGACGGGAGGCATCAGGCAAGGTACACACGTCCACAGCCCCAAATGCCAGACTCAGTCGCCCCTGCCCCAGCCATGCAGGGTTCTGCTTGGCCAGGGGAAGGAGTAAGGCACAGGCGCAGCCATCATCATGGCCCCTGAAGTTGGGAGAAGCCGGGCATGACATCCCCTGGGGACCAGAAAGGTAGGATGAGAGTTGGCCACACCTCCTGACCCTGGGAGGTGAATTCAGGGACCCAGGGTTACCAGGGAATGAACCCATCAAAGGTGGAGCAAGAAGCGCAGGTCCTCTCCTGAGTCGGAAGATTCCCCCCAGATCTCTCTCTGGCAGAAGAGAGGGAGTACACAGGGGAGAACCTCAGAACCAGTGAGCCAGCATGGGTGGGGGGAGGCTGGGAAGGAAGAGGGTGGGGAGAGAAGACGACTGGCGATGTGAGCAGCTGCCTTGGTTGAAGGGAGCCCGCCCCACCCACCGCAGGGCCCCAGGTGGAGCCTGGGGGGAGGCAGCAGAGCCGGGGCCACACGTTACCTGCTGGAGAACGAAGGTTTTCATAGCAGCGATGAGGGGCACAAAAGAATGAAGCACAAACACAGCAGGAACTCAAAGCCCCAGGGTGAGAACCCCTGCACTACAGGTCCGCTCGGCCTGGGGGAGGCTGGCTCCTGGCTTCCAGCTGCAGCTGCCCCGTCTGCCTGTGGGGTCCACTAGGCTTCTCTGCCTTCTAGAGTGAGTCTGCCTGGGCCGCCACCTGCCCCTCTTCCAGCACAGGGGCTGGGCAGACGCCGGAGAGGCACTGGGTGCGTGGATGGCACCCTGGGCTACTAGGAGGCTCGCAGCAGGTGGTGTGACCTAGCAGGCATGGGGATGGCCTGACTGCTCTGCCCCAGAACTTTCTGACCACTGGCTGGCCAACTGAGGGAACCTGGTGCCAGTGCACGGAGCCCCTGCAGTGCCACCTCCAAACGCTAACCCGGCTAAGGCCACGTGCTCTCTGGGACCCACTCCCTAGCCGCCACTGTCTCTTTTCCTCCTCCCCTCTGTCCTCTCGGGGCTCTTCTCTTCCCTACCACGCCTGCCCTCCAGGCCTCTCTGCAGAGGTTCTCTGCCTCTAGGCCTCCTCTGGAGCTCCGAGGTTTGAGTTACTGCCATGTGAGTCCAGACCTAAGAGCAAAATAGTGTAATTACCAAATTCCTCCAGGACAAAGACGCCTCGAACTGTATTGCACTTTTTAATGTGATTCAGCTCTATGAAAACCTGAAAGAGAGGGAGGAGGGGGTAAGGCCCAGAGGCTCCCCTGCCCACAAGCCCCCTCTCACCGCTACAGCCCCACCCCCACACAGAAAACCTAGTTCCCAAAGGGAGGACAGAAGCACACACACACACACACATACACACACACACGCACACGCACACACACGTACACACACGACTCAAAAGCGCTAAGAAGCGAAGATAGCAGAAAGGGCATGTACCTTCCGCTCCTGGCCGGAGGAGAAAGCATGGGAGAGAAATGAAGGCGTTAGTTTTAATGGTCAAACCCACCCGAAGGCCCCTCTGCTGGCTTGGGCTGCCCGCCCGGACCCTGTGTCCAGGGCAGCGTTTGTGGGACACTGTGCCCCAGGGGTCCCCCCACTTAGCCCATCAGCTCTCTACCCTTCCATGCATCCTCCTCCGGCGCAGAGGGCTGGCACGGGCGCAAAGCTCCCCTCAGACTGTCCTCGGGGTGAGGCGCTGCTATCTTCCTTGGAACAGGATCCAGGCTCTCCCAAGAAGCACGAGGTGATGACAACAACAGCTACCACTCATGAGCACCTACTGGGAGCTCTGCCAATGCTACGTGCAGTCCTTCCATCTATGAGGCACAGCACAGAGGTCCACCCTCACTTCACAGAGGAGGACCCTGGGGGTCACACAGTTTACTTGCCCGTGAATAACAAAGTTGGGCTCTGAATCCAAGTCAGTCCTGACTCCAAAGACCATGCTTTTGCCATTTGTTTGCCCCAAC